GGGCAGATGGTAGGGAAGGGGCCAGGGCTGCATTGCCACAACAAGGATTGGGCCCCTTTCAGCAACCCTGGCATCTGTCTTTGGCACACCAACATCTTTCAAGTCGAGGTTGACGGGTTTTTTGGCACTCTGCCCAAAATTGTTGCTGACCCCTACACTAGATCCTTTGAAGGGGATATAAAGACATAAACAAGGTGTGAGGTAAGCAGGTAAATTAAGCAGATAAATACAGACTCAGACTTGGCCCTGCCTGGGTTCCCCCCCCCAACCATTGTCCAGCCTCTCTGCAAGGTGGTAAGGACTGTAATATGTCAATAAGTTTTTGAAATGGGGTGTCACTCAATTCACAAAAGTTAGGGAGGGGTGCTGTAACTGTCTTAGAGTTAACCACTGTCTTAGATTGAAATCCTGGCTTAAGTGAAGTTGATAACAAAATTCTCATTGTCCTCATCCATCCTAACACTTTGACCCAGGTCAAAATATTCTTATGTTGTGGATCTTTTAAAAATCATTGTATACTTTACAATAAAAGGATGACCCTAAATTCTTACTGATATTAGTATAATAGAGATCATGGGCTAAATCTTGCCCATTATGGCTTGATGACTCTATTTCATAGTGCAGGTATAGGAACACAGCAGTGGAAAGGGACTCCTGGGACATGAATGCAGTCTACCATTTTTTTCAAAGCTGCCTAGGGGACTGGGTAGTGAATTTGTGCAAAATGAATGAGAATTTGGCATCCTATGTCTTGAAATGTTCATTCATAGCTTTTTGTTTCTAAAAATAGGTTTGTCTCCCTTCTATGCAGGATGCTGAGCTGTGGTGTCTAAAGATGGTTTTTACATGTCACTGGCTTACTGCACAGTAGCTTGGTGATGCTTACGCCACAGTAGCTTGTTACTGTTGCACAGTAGCTCATTACTACTGCATTGTAGTATCACTGGACATGAAACATGATGCAATGCTACTGCACAGTAGTAACAAGCTACTGTGCAGTAAGCATCACTAGGCAACCATGCTGGGACGCTACTGTGTAGTAATGCTGGTTACTATGAAGTCATTTAGTACTTGGTTATGCAAGTGCCCACTGTGTATTTTAGCTACAACTTTTCTTCTATGCTATATTCAAAGCTAACTTGTCACTTCTAGCTCATTCTTCTATACCTTTTCCCACAGACATGTATATTAAGAACTTTAGCCATTACATTAAAAATCTCTATGCTTAAATTCATTCTAAGGATTATTATTTTTATTCACATTGTATTACCAATCCCTGAAGAATAATAGTACTTGGGCTAATATGATAGCCCATGATGTCTGTAAATTATAAAGACAAGAACAATAGAGCAAATCCATTGTGATTAAAATAATCTTTCCTATAGTAGTAATAGGATCCTCTTCAGCTCTACTAGTTTGAGTAGAACTAAAGAACAAGCTTTCTTAAACTGTTGCTATCTCTAAGGCCTTGTCTACGTTAGTGTTTTTGCACTGCTGCAGCTACATAAATATAAATCCAGTGTTGATGTACTAAGAGGTATAAAACTAGGATTTTATTAGTTATTTCCATTTTAATACCACATAGCTCCTTAGATGTAATAATCTAGGTTGCTATGTGTATACTGTGTAGAAAATCATGTAGAAAAGTTCTTTAAACCAGCAGCCTAAAACCCAATTATTATTACCAGAACTTTATACACTAATGGTTCAAAACAGTTTAGTAATGTTATTGTAAGATGTGTTGTGTAGTACCTTGTCTGTCATTGTAAGATGTGGAATTCAAGATTAATATTGTAGTTCTGATTCATATAAAGGAACTTTCCTATTGGGCATGATATCATGTTTTATCTACTGTTCTCCAAAACAGTGCTCAGTAATGGGAATGATCTGGAACCACTGGAAATGCTAACTATATCTTGTTTGTTAAATACCAGGGAGTTAAATATTATTATTTTAAATACGAAAGTAAACAAAACTATGAACACATGTTAATAATGGGGGAGATAGTCAATGTGCTTGAAAGCTGTGGAAGAAATACATAGGTCAATCTGGTATACATTCCAGTTTTCATTCATACCCTTTCTAGCCTAAACTTTCCATTAAATAGGGCACAGTTAGTTCCTGCAACACAAATGAGTCATTCCCAGGTTTCCTTAAAATCTATATAACCACATATTTTGGACAAGCCCAAAACCCTTCAGGAAGAATTATATTTAAAAATAATTAGATCTTATCAATAAAGCCATACTAAAGAACATTAGATTTGCCTAAATTACCAGCAAATGAATAGCAGCAATTGAGAAAAATATTTCTTAGCTCAGTCTAGAAAATTAAAATTATTTTTCAGTCCTATAAAGCAACAATTGATATTGATTGATTAAAAAATTATGACAAGCTGCACTTCCACTGATTACATTTTGATGGAATTTGATCGTTTAGTAACTTAGTTTTCTTTTAAAGTCTTTTAAAAGATTATTAAGATGAGGAACTGACAATTAAGGATCAAGTCAGACGCTCTTAACACT